GTAAGAGGATTGTGGTTTTGTTCATCTCTCATTCTGTAGTCACGAAGTCTGTTTACCCACACAGCCCTGGGACTAAAAAACAACACACATTTCTACTGAAGGTAAAAAGGTATTATTTTTATATTTAGATAATAGGTCATATGACTCTTTTATTGATACTTTGTAGGTAAATTGTTGCAATTTGACTATGTGGGGAGAAACAAAACAGAGTAACCTACCCTAAATGATCATCAGAAGAAACACAGACTCTTTTAGGTGTCAGAGAGAACAAAAGTACAGCCATAAGGCAAATTAATTTAGGAATTTTTTTTGCAAAAAGTATTAAGGATTTGTATTTTGAAAAAGGACACAATAAACAAAATTTATAGATAGATGAAAGATTGGGAGGAGATACTTATAATTTATATATATATATAAAAACAAAATTTAGAATATGTTCATATCTACGAATCCCCCCAAAACACTGAATATATTATAGGAAATGGCATTTACATCCAAGAAGTATATAAAGAAATGTACAAACATTAATAACCAGAGAAACGTAGATTTTAAATACATTGAGGCAATACCTTACACCCAGGAGAAGAGCAAAAACAGAAAGATAATATAAAATATGGTGAGATTTTGGAGTGATGGGAACTCTCTTGCATTGCTGGAGGGAATGTAGGAATACAGCCATTCTGGATGATGATTTGGCCGTCCTCTAACAAATTAGATATCCACTGGTCCCTAGGTTCAATCCCCAGCACCACTAAACAAACAAACAAATGAAATTAAACATTTTAAAAGTCATTTGGAATGAGTAAGTGAAATGTAGTGAGCATACACTTTGGAACACTATAAGGCATTTAGAAGCAACGAACTTGATGTACATTTAACAGCACCAGAAGACCTTAAAATCCTAATATGGAGTAAGGAAAGCAAAATCCAGAATGGACCCTGTGTATGTAAATTTATATTATTTTAAGCTACATGCTGCATAAAAAGTCAAGAAGACATATGAAGCACATTGCAGCCACTCTCTGCAGTGAGAAGAGAGCAGGGATAGTATGAGAATAGTGTATAAATACACAAAAGGGGCATTTTGTGGGCACTTACTTCTCTGTGTTGGCACAAATGCAATTAGCTCAATGCAAACACCAGAGGAAATTAAAGGAGGAAATGGTGAAAAAATTACGGGAAGCTGGAATTGGAATAGAAATCCAGGGACTTCATGTAACATTAGCTGAGAGGGATTGGTAAATTCCGAAAGACTTGTGAAGCACGAGCAGCTCAACTCTTCTTTCTTTGGGGAAACAAAATATGGTGCGTTGTTTGGGTAACTGGAACCCCCTGTTTGAGAAATGAGCTCTACTGTGAGAGGTGCATGCACCTGCTTAGGTGCATGGCTGTCTAGAATTAGAAGGGCAAATCTTCTCCTCTGGAGCCAAATTGGGTCCTGCCAAAGGAGCGTAACTAGTAATGGCTTCCATTCTGTATTACTCAAATGGCTGATTACAAGTCAGGCCTGGTAGTGCATCCCTGTAATCCCAGAACTCCAGGAGGCTAAGGCAGGATGATCACAAGTTAGATCCCACCCCAGGCAATCTAGCCGCTTAGTGAAATCCTATCTCAAAATTAAAAAATAAAAATAAAACAGGGCTGAGGATGTAGCTCAGTGGGTAGGCAGGCCTTGGGTTTAATCCCCAGTACTGACAGGTGGGGAAAAGGCTTATCACTGGCTGGAAAAGAGTGGTGTTATTTATTGGGAGTAGCTCTTGGAGTGCACTTGCATAAGCTTGAAGGAATTTAAACTGTGTTATTATTTGACAATACCTGGATTACAGTCTTCCTGAGTTACTGAGCCGGGGAGTGAAGGTCATGTTCTCACCACCAAAGAAGAGTAAGGCAGGTACTGTACTTGGTTTCTTATCAGAGTCTGTTGACTCAGGTTAACCAGTAAAATCAAGCTTCCAGGTCAAACAGGCTTGCTTATCAGGCTTTTCCTGGATGCTTTCAGTCACTACTGTGCAACTAAGGTGTGGCCCATCAGAAAAATGAGAAGGGGTTGTGGGTTTGCCGGGAACAAGGGCCACAGAGGAGGTGGCAAGCCTGCCAGGTAAGGGCTGGGATGCAGTTCAGTGGTAAGCACCTGCCTGGCCTGTGTGAGGCCCTGGGTTTGATCCCAAGCACCTCAAAAAAGGCAAACAAACAAAACCCTTAGTAATCATGGAGGGCCACCTGGTGTCCTTAACCTCAGGACAAAGTTAGCTTTCACTCCATATATTCTGCTCATTAAGTGAGAAAACATCAAATATGTTTTCAATAAATTGCCATTTTAAAGACATTGAAATGGTTAACCATCTATTTGAGAAATCACTGAGGTAAAAAATCTAATTGCCCACTTTTGCTTGATAAAAGAGATATGATTTGAAATTACTATTTTAAAATTATTATCCATTTCTAAAGTCTGATTTTTATACTCTTCTAAAAACATACCTTATTCCTTTCTGTAGAAGTCTAAGTAATAAAGCCAAGTTTGTTATGGATTCTTTACATTTCCAAGGTCTTGTCTAAAACCAGTAAAACATGTTAAGTGTTTTAACTATAATAAGCCTTCAATTTAACCATTATATAGAATGCGCTATGTCTTACAGAATGCTGTGAATTTGCCATATGTGTATTTTATTTAATGCAACTTGTAGACTTTGATCAGGAGAAACATAGTTAAATAGTAATCTGTAATAGATTTATATTACATATATAGCTGGATTTGCAAAATTTCTTTCCAGCTTAGAATGATAATAATGTCTTTTAACTTTTGATTTCTTCAGTTCCAGTTTGAGGAAAATCTTGGCGGGCATTTGTTTCTGATATCATTAGAAACATCTTCCTGTGTTTTAGGAAAACAGATCAGATCTCTGCCATTGTCAGTTCACTCTAATGCATGGCTTTCCATGCACACCAACTTAAAAGGAATCCATATGACCTTGAGTGTGTACCTTTCTAATACAGACTAGAAATCGGCTGAAAATTGCTTATCTAGTATGTACACTTCAGAAGCTGACCATAACATTTAAAACTTTTTTACTTATAATGCAGTATATAACTATTGTAAAAACAGTGAGACATTTCAAAACAGTTAGTCTTTTTTTTTTTTTTTTTGGTACCAGGGATCAAACTCGGGTCCTTGCACTTGTAAGGCAGGCAGCAGAACCACTGAGCTAAATCCCTGGCCCTCAAAACAGTTAGTCTTATGTCTTCTTAATTCTACCTTCTTGCCTTCCCTAAATAACCATAGTTACATTTTGTGTGAATTTTTGGAGTTCTTCTAAAACTGAGCTTTGATTTTTGCTACAGAAAGGTTAATTATATGTAATTGTTACATCATGACCATATTGCTGATCATATAGATACAATTTCTAAATCCAGAAAAATTTGGTTCTGTATATGCAAAGTTAACAGAGGGACTTTGAAGAATCTTTTTTTTTTTTGGTACAGGGGATTGAACTCAAGACCTTGAACTTGAGCAGCAGGTGGCAAAGCCACTGAGCTAAATCCCTGGCCCTTGAAGAATCATTTTGCTAGATGAGACTCATTGTAGTTCCATTCTTTTGCACAAGAAAAGCTGGTTAGGCCTGTTTTTCTTGGTTTCCCTGGTCTTACTGGCTCAGTCTAGTTTTACTGTAATTGTGATACACCTAGTAAAAGCTTGCTTTTGTAATAACTATACATTTTTACTTTTTTTTTTTTTTTTTTGCAGTGACAGGGATCGGACTCAGGCAGATGCGGTGCCACTGAGCTACATCCCTGGCCTGTATTTTTACTTTAATAATACTAGGACAAACTACTTTTCTACTTTTTTTGTAGAAAAAGACAACTTATATTGGCATTAGTAGTTCAAACTTTGATCAAATCAATAGCTGCTTCTAAAAAATCAATAAACACTTTGGGGATGTTGATAACTAAGTTATTTAGAACTTCAGTAGATATAACAGTTTAGCAATTTGTCACTTCATACTTTTAAGTACATTGAAGAAGTAGATGATTGGTCTCTGTTGAGTTATCACCAAAGTTCTCAGCATATCAAGTGAGGTTGGGTGAGAGTAAATAGATGAGACTTTTTCAATTTTATATTTCAAATTATTAATGGATTATCAATTTCTATTGAAAAGTAATAAAACATTAAATAAGTAAAAGTACTTACTAAATGGATACATAGATGGCCCTAATAAAAATGTTGTAATATTTCCTCATCAATAACTGAAAATACAAATAATTCTGAGACCATTCACTAATTCATCTTCTCATTTGTTGTTTGATTAGGGTATCAGTCATTCAGGCACTCACTCGTGCCCATTCATCATTCTGCCCACTTATACTTTCAGGAAGTACAGAAAGTTGAGCACCCTTCTATTTCATGGAACCAACAGACATAAAACACTATGGTGCCCAAGAATCTACACCTCGACAGCCTAGCTGTGTTTCTCAGAATGAGTCTTTTGAGTAATGTTTCTTCTGAAAAAAAAAAAAAGCTGCAAAGTTGATTTATATGTGGATGAAGAGAATTGCCTTGGAAATTAAAACTAGAAGTAGAAATTTGTTTCAAAACCTCATTCTGGGAGATTTAATAGATTTACTTGATCGAGATCTTCTTACATTGTTATTAACTAAATTCTTGATCAAATTGTTTAGTTTTTGTGATGAAAACTATGTCTTTAAACTTAAAATGTTTGTTTGTTTCTTGGTTTTTAAGATGGAGTTTGCTATGTTGCCCTGGCTGACCTTGAACTCCTGGATTCAAGCATTTCTCCTGCCTTTGCCTCCTGAGGACCTGGGACTACAGGTGCCCATCATTTCTTATTATATGAGATACAACACATATGAATATTTGCAATTTCAAAATATTATACAGCTCTAAGGTTTAAATAATTTTTAAGTCATTTCAATGAGATAATGACACATTTTAAGAAGTACAGGGCCAGGGATTTAGCTCAGTGGTTTCGCTGCCTGCTGCGCAAGCGCAAGGACCTGAATTAGATCTCCAGTACCAAAAAAAAAAAGTATAGAAGGTGTTTTCTTGTTTTGTGTAAATACAGTGATTTGCACAATAGTTAATGGCATTGTATGACCCTGTAATTGGTTGATTTTGGCGAGCCAACACAAATCCATACCTACATATTCTGCTTCACATATATGGAGGGAAGCTGGGAGTAGGGAAGGGAGGACAAAGAAGAAAGATACTGGGCTGTGGAGCGAGAAAGCAGGATGGGTGGTGAGAGGGGGCGTAGAGTGGGAGCTGTGCGGAGCTGACTGTTGGAAGCTCGTTCTGTGGGAGTGATCACCGGGGACTGACTGTACCGGCCAACCAGAAGGCCATGGAAATTTCATAAGTACACCCTAAAATCCTAGAATGCAAGTGCCAGAGGAGAATGCTCAGTGATCCATTGCAATCCTTCTGCCTTTAGAGGAGAAAATGGTATCAGAGAGGTTATGTGACTTGCCCAGTGTCACGCAGTTAGTGGCAAGGTCATATGGTCACTTGATAAGTTGATGTAACATGGGGCTATTTTAGAACCATAAAAAATAGTTATTTAGCTTTCATCTGTTCATCTGTATTTTATAGTGATGTTTGCAACAGACTTGGGTGTTATCTTGTTCCTGGGTCACCTTAGGGTCCAGAGCAAAGCAGCCTGGGTGAAGGCCTCAGGGCCACACTGCAGGGCACATGTGGTCAGCAGTGGGGTTTTGGCCACACGTGTGCCTCCCAGAATGGCCCTCGTTCCATAAGAGCTTCCTTATCTCTTCCTTGGGTTACAGCTTTCCACTGGGTTACAGTTACATGTGATTTGTTAAAATGTTTATTTTTTTATCTAACAACTAATAAATGTATTTGCTTAAAGAAAGGAAAGTAAATTTCACTTGAAATTCAGTCTAATGCCTGCCTCTCTTGACTGCAGGCTGCCTAACAATGCCAGTTGTTTAGACTGAGCATCACAGGTGAGACAAGTGACAGTGGGAGGCACATTTTGACCACAGTGTGACCCTTCCTAGGCTTGGCCTCAGGCTGCTCAGAAGTAAAGGATTCAGTTCCATAATTTCTGCTTAAAGCTATCTAATACCTCTATGATGGAGGTTTCAGAACATCTTGTGGGAACACTAAAAATGAATCTTCATTACACTAAAAATTATAAGAGTAATAGATTTACAGGAACTTCAAAAAACATGGAAATGAATAAGGCAGAAAGAGCCTTCGAATAGGGCTAGGTTGGGGAGGGATAAGAGTCAGGACACCTACGATAAAAAGGGCGGTGAGGTTTTGATGGAGACCAAGTGTTTTGCCTTGGCCATTGTGAGCAGGGACACAGCTCTGTGGTATTCTAGAGAACTAAGGAGGACCTGTATCACTGCCAGGCCACATCTTGGGGGGCCACGCAGCACCTCCCACACAGCCACTTTTCCTCTCTGCAGGATGCTGTAGAGAAAAAGAGGTCAATGTCAGAATCAGGTCACCAAGCTTCCTGGGCTGTGCTGCAGAGATCTCAAGCCTAGCCTTGGGAGCAGGCCGCTGGTAACAACACAGCTTCTCAGAGGTCAAAACCGGCCACTCCAGCAGAAGTTCCTGAGGACAAACCCTCAAGATCCCAGAGAGCTGGTATTGCCTTCCTGAGCAGCCAGGGCAGGCAAGTGAGCAGAGCAGGCCTTTTAAATCTGGTATAAAGCTGAGCAGCCATCTCCAAAAGAAATATCAAAGACAGTTCTATAAAGCACTTCACAGCAGAAGAAACTTATCCTATCAAACAGGAAGTTATTGTATAAACTTCAGGATCCACGGAAAACCCCAGTGGGAAGTACCTGGCCTATTGGGGAAGAGAATGTAAGTGTCTGAATGAATTATCAGCAGAGCCATCTACACAAGCCAGGCAATACCGTTCAGAGAGTGGAGCATTTAATTCAGATCAATGTAACAGTGTTCACACTCCGAGATCCCTACCTTATGCTCCAGAGATCCCTGCAGACCCAAGGGGAATTGTTAATATTAAACACGAAAGTGACTTAATTCAATCTAATTGTGACTATGCAGGGGTTTCGCTGAGAGAATTTGTAGGCGCTCATAGAACAAGGTAAAGAATTTGAACATGTGCTATCTTATTGTCTCCTAGATTCTTTCCTCTGTCTGCACATTTGAATTTCAGTAATACTATGATAGATACCTAAGTTAACAGGGGCAAATGAAACAAACAACTAAATCTGAAGCCTCCTGGAAGGGAACAAAACCAGCATGAAGAGTCCCTGGAGATCAGACTGCTTTTTATTCCTGGACACTGTGATCTGACATAAAAAAGGAAGAAAATATATGTAGCCATGGCTATTTGGTTCATATCTGATTTGTATGTATTTTTCCTCAGCTAATATGTTTTTATCAGCTGTTGAGTCAACAACAAGGCAAAAGCTGCCCTGCTGTTTGCTCAGAAACCATAATAGGAAAACTGTTTTCTCAGAAGTTTCAGTCATCTTTTTAATGATGAAAATAAAGTAGCTGGTACTTCCTTTTCTCTTACCTTTAATAATGTGGATGAACCAAAATACCTTCTAAATTCCAAATCTGTTTCTATTTGCAGGAAACAAAATGTACATTTTTTCCTAGACTATATTTTTCTGGGAGTAGGATATATTTGTTTATACATCCATATGCATACATATATACATACTGTACATGCACACGAATATACATAAATACACATATGTATGTATAATATCAGTCTTGCAAACACTAATGGAGCCGATGCAAAATAAATGTTGTTGGGCTGGGGATTTAGCTCAATGGTTCCGTCGCCTGCCTCACAAGCTCAAAGTCCCGAGTTCAATCTCCGGTACCAAAAAAAATATGTTTTTTACTCTTACACCCATTACTCTAAGGATAGATATCTGTTGGGAATGTTGAGGAAGGGGTCCGTACTCAATGAAAGCCTATACTAGGATTACATTTTCTCAGGCATATGTTAAGATTGTGTGTAAAGCCTGCAGAAGTAATTTATTTCTAGAAATCAAGTATTGAAGTCAGTGAATAATTAACTAAAAACCAAAGGTTCCAGGTTAACCTTATGATGTGACCTCTACTCATTTGAATTTTAGCACCTTCCCTATGTGGAGTGAACAAGGTGGAGTCACATTGTAAGAAATAGCGTGGCCACACACAGCACTAGGAAGTGCGACCTGTGATCTTGTGACAGCAAAGAGGCTGAAAATTTTTGATCTTTAAGGCTCTTAAGATTTTACAATTCTGTCAGATAAAATTAAAAAATCTTATGAATGGTATGAATAAATAGCCATTGGACTGTTTGGTGCCAAATTTATATTTCTTATCTTGAACACGTGGTTTGGAGGCATAAATAGCCCCATTTAGCTGTTGACCAGTATGAAACAAATAGTTGATTGGCTTTCTCCATTTTCCCATAAAATCAGAGTTCAGACAACAGATGGGTTTTTACTAATGTAGTCTTCAATTAGTTTTGAACTTGTGGGATGTTACACTGCCACCCTGTGGGCATGAGTTTCCAGCTTTTAGCAAGATCTTTTAATGTGTAACTAGTTCTCCCCCTAAGAATATACCAGGCATTATCTATTATACCTTTTAGTCCTTATTTACACTTTCAGTTTCTCACACTGGAGAAACT